GTAAAAAAAAAAAAAAACTTTTAAATGCTTAAATGGCTTTTCAGTGTCATCTTACACCTTCTGATTTAAAAAATAGTTCTTTTTGTAAAAGACTAATACATTTATTTTTTTTAATTAATAAATTATATATATTCATTATTTTTATATTATTTATATAATTAATTGTAATTCATAATTATTTCACAAAACAAACACACTGTCATTTTTTCCATCCAGCTTCAATATTGTTTGGACAGGCTGTATTTTCTTCTTTCTTAAACCAAGACATTCTCTGTATGTATAGTTTTAGATAGGGTTTGTTCACGATATATTTTTCAATAATATAATACTTCATAAATATTATTTAAAAAATATAAATAAGTAAATATCTTAACACTGTAAATAATATTTAAATCTAATTTATTCACAAAAATTTAGTAATTTAACAAAAAATATTATTTTTATATTAAATACACTAATTCCTATGTCTAATATAAAATAATAAATTCATCTAAAACAGAAAACGAACAAATAACATGTATTCCCGTATATACTCCTATCATACAGTAATTAACCATTATGTACTTGATCATTTATTACGAGTGTGTATATATATTTTATACTCTCTTCTCTTCGTCATATTGAAAAGTTATCATTTTCTATTTTCGTCCGTTCTCAAACAAGGTTATCATTTCCTAATTTAGTAATTGTACTACCTACCTAACATAATAAATACTCTTTCAACTTACAATATATTACACAAATATTATTACTTTTATATTACATCATAATATTTTTGTCTTTTTTACTGCAATCTAATATAATACTAATATTAAAAAATTTACATGCAAAAAACAAATGTCATCCTTCTAATAGGACAGAGGGAGTATTTTAATTTTACATAGAATTGAATGCGACCTTCTTACGTGTTAATATTTGAATATTAATTATTATATCCAAATGTAGTACAAATTATGAAAAAATTACAAAAGTACTTTCATTAGTGTCTTATAATACTAATAGAAACAAATTATACAAATATAATGATATTTTAATATTAAGTACAATAATACAAAAAGTAAATGAAACCCGAGACGGATTGAGAGAATATAATAATATGATACTTTGTAAAATTATAGTGTATTTTAAAAATATTCCCGGATTTGTTCTTTCAAAAACAATAATTCTCAATTTTTTTAAAAAAAGGAACGCATTTACTTATAATACTATTTCTTAATAAAACTAAATTATTTTTTTTTATAAAATATTTTTAAAATAATAAAAATTAATTTATTCAAAATAATTGTATCATTTTCAATAACTAAAATAAAAAACTCTACTATTTTGAAAACACTAACATAATGCATAATTTTTTGAAATTCCAAAACATACCAAAACCATTGCTTGATTATTGTTACAATAAAAGGTTTATTCACTTAATATTCTGTGCCATAAATTTTATTATAAACAAATATATTAACATGATTTATATACTTTATGTACTCATAAAAAAACATATATATATTTAATATAAAATATTATGTTTTATATTACAAACACACAATTCTTCATATCTAATATAAAAAAAATGAAAAATTTAAAAAAAACCTAAATTATTTATGAATTTGTATTGTATTTTCAAAATTTGTAATCTTTAGTATATTTAAATATACAAGTAATTTATTTATAATTATATGTATATTTAAATTTGAATTTTTTATAAAGTTGATTCATGTTAATAATCTATAAACATATATTTTTATAATTCAAATATAAAGCAATGAATATATTTAGTATGTATTCACATAGGGTGTTTTGTGTAAGTATATATACAAATGGATCTCATTTTGTATATAATAAAAATAAATAAAAATATCTACTTATTTATTTATAATTAATTTAAAACTAATTTTATAAAAAAAATAAGAAAAATTTTAAATATAGATAAAAATAATTATTTATTGATGAGAGATACAAATTAATGGGTTTTGAATGAGTACTATTTGTAAATCGTTAGAAATTTAATTGAATTAATTTATATTTATTAAATATATTTAAAATAAATAATTTTTTAAAAAAATAAAAATATGTCATCTTTATTTGGACGGACATTATAAAAAATATTTGTACATTACCCGAAAGTGCACACTGGATAAATTTTCGGTGAAACTTAATGCCCTGCCAACCAGACCCGACTGGGACAAATATAGGTCCTCTTTTTTCTTTTTTTTTTTTTTCAGGACGAATATATATATGTCCTCTTTTTTCTTTTTTTTTTTTTTTGTATGTACTGGTGATTTTATTTATGATTTATATGTGCTCTTTTACTGTTTGACTTTATATATATATATATTTTCAAATAGTTAAATAAAAAATTTTATATATTTTTTAAATAAATTTTACAAAACATAAAATTAAACGTGGAGTATTTTTTTTATATATATTTTATCCTTTAAATTTTAATCATTTTTTTTAAAAAAATATATTTTAATTGTAACACTTTATATAAATAATTACTCCATTAAATATGGTATTAAAAAGTAATCGTAATCATAATTTTATTTTGGTTGGTTTGGTTTGTATTTTTTATTATGTATATAGACCCTATACTTTATTATACTTTCTCCATTTCAATCAATCGAAAAGTATTATAGTTTTTTTAGCAAATAAAAAATAATAATATTTTATTATTTAATAAAAATGCGCAAGAAATTTTGATATTTAATTTCGTTTAATTTATATATAAAATAATTATATATACAATAATATATTTATAATTTAAGTAAAATTAAAAAGTATGTTGGTATTGATGTACGAATTATTTTGTTTAATAAAAAATAAATACTTTTAAGTGACATAAAAAAAAATACTATTATAAAAAGATATTTTGAATTAGGCTTCAACGACGGATGGAGTATTATTCCAACTTCATTCCGAAACACTTGTTGGGGTGTGTTTGTTTGGAGGTTTGAATTTTGAATTGGGATTTAAATAGTAAATATTTTAAATTAAAATAACTATATGATGTAATATAAATAAATATTAAGGTGATATTTTTTGAATATAAAATTAATATTTAGAATAATATAAAAAATAAAAAATTAATATTTTATTTGATATTTTTTTAAAAAAATACTAAATAAAAAATAAATTTTTTGCAAAATTCCTCGAACAAACACGTCGGAAAATGATATAGATTATTAAATGGCACACTTTTCCGTATGAAGTCGACCCCAAACCATTATTGTGTTTAAGGATTGAATTTTGGATGATCATTCACTTTATTTCACCATACTGTTAGAAATTTGAAAATGAAACGACTCTACTAATTATTACTCTCTCCGTCCCACATAATTTGTTCCTATTTTTTATTTTTATCCGTCCCACATAATTTGTCTTTTTTTTTTGAAAAACTAATTATACACTTTAATCATATTTTAAAATTTAAAATTTAAATTTTTTTTAATCTTAATTAAACTATTTAGTTATCTTAATCTTAATCTATAATTATTTTTACTAAATAATAATTATTTTTATTAATACATTTTTTAATTACTTACTAATTATACTTTACCTAAATTTCCGTGTCTACAGTAATACACCCATATTACATGGGACGGAGGGAGTATTATTATTATTATTTGTTTTTTTTACTTTATATTATCCGGGAATGATAGGTTGTGTTTGTTTTGTGTTTTGATGTAGAGGAAAAAAATTTATGTCAAATATATAGAATTGTGCATGTAATTTAAAAATAATGAATAAATATAGTATATTAATCTTTTTTTTATAAAATATATCGAAAATTTCTGACAAAACAAACAAATCCATTGGTTACCGATTTTATTTTTTAGTTAAAATTAAGTTGGAATTAAATTGTTTAATTTATAATATAGTATACATATACAATTAAAATATGTATTTAATTATTTCAATAATATATATAATATTTTTATATAATACAAAAAATAAAAAAATATACATTTTGTCATAACTTTCAAAGTGGTGTGTAGTTTTTTTTTATCTTTTATATTTTTTTTAAAAAAAATAGTATGATTTTTAATTAAAATAAAAATAACCATATTTTAGATGAAAAAAAAAAGTAATGATAATATTTTTAGGTAGCAAAGAGAATAATAATAATATGTACTAATTTTTACAGAAAATAATAATTAAATATTAAAATTAAAATTTTTAAATGAATAAGGGATAAAAAAAAATACAATTTTAAAATAGAGAGAATAAAATTATCACATTAGCGAATAAAAAGCACCAAAATTGTCATTTTAAAAATAAATAGATTAAAATTGAGACTTTAGTGAATAAAATAACTAAAAAAATAAAAAAAATATATCCTATATATATTTTAATTGAAAGAAAGAAAGAGTGTATATGTATTGTTTAAAAAAAAATTAGTACTTCCTCCGTCCCACATATCATGTCCACGTTATCTTTTTTGTTCGTCCCACATTCCATGTCACTTTCCTTTTTTGAAAAATGATTACACACTTTAATCTCATTTTAAACTAATACATTATTAATTATCTACTAATTATACTTCTCTTAAAATACTATGACACGGTATGTGAGACGGAGAGAGTAATACATTTTAAAAAAGTATCTATAGCAAGTAGATTAGTTATTCTGAAAAAATGAAGAATTCGGATAATTCATTAATAAGGATTATGTGGTATGGAGTATAAAGAAAATGGATTGGGTGTGTTTGTCTGGGTTTTGGATTTGAATAGTAAAAATTTTAAATTTGAATAGTTGTATGATGTGATATAAATAGGTGTTGATGTAATGTTTTGAATATAAAATTAATTTTTAATATAATATAAAAAATTAAAAAATAGATGTTTGATTTGATATTTTTTAAAGGAAAAAATGAGATGATGTTTTTAGAATTAATTTTAAGGTGTGTTTGTTTGTAGCTTTGGATTTTGAATTAGGATATCATATGATATAAATAGATATTAGATGTGGTATATTGAATTTAAATTAATTTTTACTTATCACAATTAACTAATCAAACACGATATTATTTTAATACTTTCAATATAAATACAATTAAAAACCAAAAAAAAAAAAAAAAAACACTAAAATCCAAAATCCCTTACAAATGCCAACGATTTTATAATCCCTCTCCGATCTAGTTGAACTTAATTAATTATTTAACTAAACCCGACAACGCCGAAAGCAAATTCGCAAATGACATTTTTTTAATTTTTAATTTCTTCAATCTCTGAAACTAAATCAATGGCGGTCTTCTTCCAGAATGAGATCGATTTTGCGTTGCAGAAGGTCGACCTTGTCCTTCTCCATGTTTACCCAGGCCTCAATGGCCCCCCCGCTCCTCGTCCCCATCAGAATAGTCGTGTTCCTCACCGTCACCGCCGCCGTGCTCACCCACACTGGTCTCCCCCACCCGAAGTCTATCTCGTACAACGGAAACCCGCACCAGCTGCTGAACACGCATCCATCCATCAGCTCCCCCGCCGCCTGCCGCGCCGAGAATCCCTGCAAATCCTTCAGATAATCGTCCCCCTCCTGCGACCTCGAAATGTAATCCCCGTCGATCTTCCTGATCGAATTCCTCATCTCCTGCACCAGCTTCTGGTAAAACCCCTCCTCGCCGCCGGCGGAATCTCCGGTGGCCTCGTGCTTCGCGAAGGCCAGCATGTAGCAGTTGCCCAGCACGTTTTTGAGATTCACCGGCGGGTTTGTTCGTCCCCGCAAAGTGACCGCCTGGATCGCCGGGTAAATTGCGCCGGTGGAGGGTTCCGGCGACGAATTCGCCATGGCTATGAAATGCTCCCAAATGAAAGCTGAGATCGCCTCCACTCGCGACGGGTACGGCACGGATTTCGACGCGGCTTTCCGCTTCAAAACCCTAAGCATCTCCTCGTCGAAGACGAACCTTTTCGTGGCGAAGTTTTCGTCGCCCAACGGCATGAATTTCCCGTTGTGGTGGTCGGGGAACTCCCTCGCCGGAAAATACTCCGCCGCCTCGAAAGTCGGCGGCGCGAAATCCGGCTTCCCGCTGCAAGTCTTCGCCCAGGCGTCGGCGAAAATCGCCGCCGAGCCGCCGTCGGCAGCGAGATGCAGTAGACTAATCGCGACGCAAATTCCTCCGCATTTGAAGAAAGTAACTTTGACGACGAGCGGAGCTTTGGTTTCGCTCTCGGCGACTACGTACGGCCCCAAGTCGTCGACGTTCCGCTCGGCGGCGACGTCGGCGAGGACGACGTCGACGCGGGACTCGATGAACTCGGCGCCGGTGTCGTTGCAGTCGATGTGGGCATCGTCTTTTCCGACATGAACTACCCCGGCGAGGGAGTAGAATGAGGTGAGGGTGTCGGCGAGAGAGTCTTTGAGGCGGCGGATTATTTGGGACTGGTCGGCGCCGGCGCCGGCGACGGCGGCTTCGTAGAAGAAGAGGATGGAGGCGTAGGTGGGGCGGTGGAGGAGATCTAAGTAGGAGAGTTTGATATTTCGTTTGTGTTGGGGAGTTGGGGACGACGGCTGGATGTACTCCACGGATAACTTCGTCATTTTTGAGAAATTAATGAGAGATAATGAAGTACTATACTTTGTGGTACAGATACACTACTAATTAGGAAAGCTTATGCGGGTTTATATAGGGATAGGGAGACTGATGTTTACGTAACATATGGTTTGTTCACATGTGTTTTTAAATGAAAATGTTATTAAATACATATAATTCCTCCTTTTCGGTACAAGGTTGCTATTTAATTTTTGCACTTAAATTTTTTAATATTTATAAAATTTGTCTAATATACTGTAAAGTAAAAGAATATTTATTATGTTAGATAGGTAGTACAATTATTAAATCATGATTATACATGGTCCTGGTCTTGTAACAACATGATCATGTATAATTATACACTGAAATATACATGGTCATGTAACAATATGGTCGTGTATAATTGTACATGGTCGTGTAACAACATGACCATGGATATTTAAGTGTATAATTATACATGGTCATGTAACAACATGGCCGTGTGAAAACATGTCAATGTATAATTATACAGTGAAATATACATGGTCATGTAACAACATAGTCATGTATAATTGTACAAGACCGTGTACTTTTCAGGTCAACTGCCACGTCACCTCCGTTATGTCCACGTCAGCAATTTCCGTTAATTTTTTAACGGTGGGATCAAAATGATTAAAATTGTTTATAATAGGACCAAAATTGATTGAAATTGTTTATATTGGGACTAAAATTGATGAGTTTTTTATATTGAAACCAAAATTGATAAATTTTGGTTATATTGAGACCAAAATTAATGAGTTTTTTATATTATGACCAAAATTAATAAATTTTGATTATATTAAAAAAAAATTGATTTTTTCCCATTTATTAACTATGTATCATTTATTATATATACGAGAATTTAGAAAAAAATATAATTAATAAATAGTTAAAAATATATTAGTAAAAATAATAATAGTATAATAAAAATAATTTTAGATTAAAATTAAGATAAATTTAATTAAATTTAAAAGATAATTAGAATGAAATTAAAATGGACAAATTAACTAAGACAATTTTTAAATCTAAATCAATACTATTCATTTATACTATTTTTAATGGAAAAATTTATTTATTTTATCTTATAAAATATTCTCTCCGTCCATTTACAATGTTTACATTTACTTTTGGCGCAGTGTTTAAAAAATAATAATATTTTAATTATAGTGAGTAGTTAAAAGTAGTGTAATGATATTTTTACACTTCTTTTTTTGTGTAAAAGTAATAATGTGATGTAAAGCAATGATATTTGTGAAAAAAAATAAGGTATTTAATGAAATGTTAACTTTGTAATTGGACATTTCAAAATAGAAATATGTAAACATTGTAAGTGGACGGAATGAATATGTATTAAGATATTATTTAAATTAATACTCCCTCACTCCTACTTACCATGTCCATGTCGTCATTTATATCTGTCTCACATCTCATGTCACTTTCATTTTTTGGAAAATAATTACCCATTTTAATAGTCTTTTTATTTTTATTTTTAATTTTAATTAAACTAATTAGTCATCTTAATATTAATCTATAATTATTTATATTATAATTTAATTATTTTTACTAATACATTTTTAATTATTTATTAATTAAACTTATCATAAATTTTCGTGTCTACCGTCACCAAGACATGCACGGAGATAGTACTAAATTTTAAATCAATTTCGATTTGCAGTGAAACAAATTCACATTTTTGTTTTATTTTAAAATTTATCGTACCAAATTTTAGCAAAATACAATCATCATTTATTTAGAAGATCCAACAGACAGTACTGCTCCAATTAGCTGTCGACAGCTGCACTTACTAATTATTGAACCCCGGTGGGAATTAATAATTGGAACCAAAATGATTGTGAAACGTTACAAAAATAGTATAACAATAATTAAAAAATAAATAATCGTACAGAAAAAACTAATATTGGTCCCACTATAACTAATATAATAAATTCATTAATTTTAATTTTATTATAAATAATTTTAATCAATTTTGATTTTATCATTTAAGTTATATTTGTCTAAGATTGGATTTTAAATATATTATTTTTTTTTTTTAAAAAAAAATCAAATTAAACATTTATTTTAAATTTTTTTATATTATATTAAAAATTAATTTTATATTCAAAATATCACATCAACACCTATTTATATCACGTCATACAACTATTCAAATTATTTATAATAAGAGTCCAATAATGAATTTTTTATATTAAGATAAAATCTGATACGTTTTAATTATATTAGAACTAATATTAATATTCTCCCATAATATTATTATATTATTATTTATTAATTTTTTAAATATTGTATTAAATATTTATTTATATCATATTAAAAATTGTACTATCTACCTAACATAATAAATATCATTTCAATTTACAATATATTACACATATGTCATTATTTTTATATTACATAATACTCATAGAAGTATTTTTATTTTTTCTACAATAATCCAATATAATATTTATATAAAAAATTTTACGTAAAAAAAAAAATAAACAACAATTTTTCAACGAGACTGAATAAATACTATTTATACAATAGTACTCCTAATTAACTTATTTCCAAACAAACCCCAGTGTTTTTATTATTATTATTATTATTATTATTATGCTTTAAAGTTGACTTCATGGTTTAAACGAGGGGAATTTGATACGGATTTATTTGTTCTACGTGTATTTGGGTTTGCTTAATTTTGTTTTAAATTTGAGGTTTTGATTTTAATTTTAGTAATAATAATTTGTAGAAAAATATAATATTTTTATATTTTTATTAAAAATTATCCTGATTGAATAATATTATTTAAAATTCAAGTTAAACACACCTCTCTTGTTATTTATTTATTTACATATAAAATTCAATATTCTCTCCGTCCCTCCCGCGAAAGATGAACAATTTTGTTAGCGATATGTTAGTTTAGGTAGTGTAGGTTATTAAGTCATTAATAATAAGTTATGAAAATATTTTATTATTTTTTATATGTGTAGTGTTGTTGGTATTTTAAATATCTTTAGAATTATATCTTAATAAAATATATGTAATATGGATATCATTTTCTAGACAGTAAAATTTTATATAAAACAAATGAATAAAAAAATATATTTATTTATTTATCATTGCGATAAATTAATTTTATAAAAAACGAGGAAATTTTAAAAGTAGATCAAAATATTTGTTAATTGAGAAGAGAAATAAAAATAAAAGAGTTTTGAGTGAGTCCTAGGCATAAGATGTTAGAAGTTTAATTAATTTGATTTATATTTATTAAATATATTTAAAATTGATAAATTTATCAAAAATGGAAATAAGGTCATCTTTGGCTGGACAGACAAAATATTAAATTAAAAGTACTCCCTCCGTCCCGAAACTAAGTATTCATTTGCTTTTTGCACGTAATTTTAGAAATATTAGTATTATATTGGGATATAGTAGGAGTAAAGTAGAAATGACTAAAATAACCTTATTACTATGTGTGATATAAAGGTAATGACATTTGTGTAATATATTGTAAGTTGTAAGAGTATTTGTAATGTTACGTAGAAAGTACAGTTATTAAAAAAGAAAATGGATACTTTATTATGAGACGAACTAAATTAAAAAATAGATACTTTATTATGGAGCTGAGAGAATAAAAAAAAAAAAAAAAAAAACAAACCAACAATACAAAAGACATATGCCCACAACACAAACTTGCATGATTGTACTTAAATGATTTGTACAAATGGTCTGTTCTCACTGTAACGACACTATCATACATTTTCACGTGGGGCATGTTGCATTTCAAGTTTTTTCTAGCTGTTTTATATTTAAATATGCATTATGTGCCTTTCGTTTTTTTAATTAATTTTCACCCTATTTAATCAACATTTGATTCGATTTCTATATACTTAGAAAGAAAAAAAAAATATATATATATATATTCGATATTATATTTTAATATAATATATAATAATACATATTTTGATAACATATTATATAATTATATATGTCACAATATATTTTTATTTCAATACAATAAAAATATTAATAATTATATTTTGCACAATATATGACTCACACATCACATTTTTATATATATCATAATATATGTTATCTGTCATGTGATGAGGTATTAATTACTTAAATAGTGTGTTAATCTGATCAAATTTAGCAGAATATCCTAATGTTGACTTATATTATATCAAATATGATGTTTTTTTATTCTTTTTTTTTTGTTATTTATGTACAAACCAAGAACTTCAAAATACTTCTAATAGTATTTCAATTCAAAATATACTATTTTTCAAAAATAAAAAATACGATTTTCTCCGCTTGTTAAAATTATAACAATTATTATTTAGATGTACGTTAAATTTATACATAATTCATTTATAGTAAACAATTTTATTTACTAATAATTTGATTATCCTTACTTTAACAAATAAAAATTCATCTGCGACTATTATTTTTTACATACTCCAATACTTTTTTTTTTTTTTTATCAATATTCTTTCAATAAATTTTGAAAGATATTTTATTTTATTTTTTATCTACTTCACTTTAATATTATTTTTAAATTTAAATTATTTTTAAATTTTAGTATCCACCAATTTTTTTATGAATTTTCATATATAAGTACTGTTTTATTATACATACATTTCACATTCAATATATGTATAGGTTATTTATTAATTATTTAAAATGTTATATTTAATATTATTTTCATTTCATTTTTTTTTTAAATTCAAAATAATTTAAACTATTAAAACTTTACAGTTATCCCATATATAAAATATGTTAAGGAGTTTTTCTAAGTGTAAATTATATAATACCTCCATATGTTTTAGTAAAAATGCACAAAATACTTTGTGTTTTAATTATTGCGTGAAACTCCCTTGGGTTAATGTAAAGTTTGCACCAAATACCCTTCTTGTCCAAAACTGATATTTAGTTCTAAATAAATACCTAAATTACACAAGTTTTATACAAATAAAAACCGTAAAATATCTTAAATAAATTTTTTGCATTAAATAAATAATTTATTAATCCTTCATTTTATAGTTTTTGGAGACAAATGATTGTCTG